ATAATATATCTCATAAATACCGAAGAAACGGTCGTGTGCTGGTCATCAGCTGCCCTCCCGGCCACGAGCGAAACACAACCTTGGTCTGCACCCGAATATAATATACGACGGAGATACGTGACGACGATAAGTCGCGATACGGTCCGGATAACATCGTACGAGTATGTGTGCATAGTTCCCACGGCGGACAACTACCATGGTCGCCGGCGGGTGGTTGCGGCGCGGTATATACCTGTTGCGGCGGGAGAAGAAACGCCACCGCTGCTGCACCGGTACGGTGCGGTGCACACGCGGGGCGATCATATTTTTATAGCTGCGATTAAGGTGCGCGCACGCCGCACGACCGTCCGACGCTCTGACCGCGCGCGGCATCGCATAACAGTGCACCGTAACACGTCGCGACAATCGATTTTCGCGGAAAGCGCATTACAACATAATAATCGATCGCGATCCTGCTACTACCCGCGGATAATATGTTTTTTTATTTGTTAAAGTGGTTTTTTTCTAGAGTGCTCACCCTACGCCGTTTTCATGCCTTATCGATAACCCTGATTTTTGGAAAACTGCGTATTTCCAAGTACCCACTCGTTACCTTATTAGTTATTAGTTACAGTTGTTGTGCAATTCGAAAACTTGCTCACTGTTCTGTGTGACTAAGTGACGGCACAAAAATACAATATAATATTATCAATTCAAATTCCTATTCTATATGTAGATCAATTTTTTTTTTTTAATTTAAGATAAAGGCTTTTCAACGTCTTAAGGTTTACTTTGTGGTTTAAATGTATGTAATGGAAAAATTTGTAAATTACTTCACTGTGTTCTCTTCGCTGCGAGCAAGTCAGCGATATGTTGAGTTTTTGAAAAATGTTTGAGCTTCGGCGTTGCTGAAGTCGAAATTTGTGCGAACGAACGTGAGGGACTTCTACCGAATTATTCTACTCCACGTGCAGTTATCGACCTAACCTGTTGTATACATATTTCCACCAACCACACGAATCGAGGGGGTATTGCAATAATTCAGTATCGCTAGTTAATACCCTATATCATCGTTGTGGCATTCAAACGATCGCGATGTCCTTCGACGGTTCTTATTTTCCCCGCGCGTACCCGTCGCGCAATCGACACGGCCGATTTCAATAATAATATCATAATAACGAAATTATCACCGTTTGCGTCGATTGCAAATAATACATCGTCGTGTCGTCGACCGTCGTTATTATTGTTGACGCGGAGTCGTGTGGCGTAGTGCCGTTCGCATTATATTTTATCACCGTGCGTTGCGTGTCCAAGGAGCATTTATATATTATATAATATATTGCGTACAATAATAATATAATGCCCCGGCTCCGTCGACACATCTGCCGCCGTCGCCTCCGAGTCCGATGTGTTTTTTTTCCCCGTTCATACTTTATTATTATTGTTGTAACGCGATTATAACAATAATAATTTATGGACCGCGCGGCCGGAATTTGCGGAGTCCTGTGGTAACCATTACCGCGGTATAATAAACATAGACATATACGATATACTAGCTATTAATGAAACTTTGAGTTTTTGATTGTCACGCCGCATGTACTGATGTTCGACGCTTGCGATATCATACAAACGTACCGTTTGATTCTCAATGGTTCTTCTCGATCAACCCGTTGATGAGATGTCCCAGAGACACCTGGTCAAGATTATAACCACATTCGCTAGTGTAATCAGGATTTTAAGAAAAATATTTCTGCTTTGTTAAACGATTTTTTTTTAAATATTTTGATCTTCTATTTATATGTATTAATCATAATAATATGTTTTTTTAAATTAATTGTATAATAGTTATTAGTTTTCTTATTGATATTGCTTTTATGAACGGTTTTTATAGCCTATGCCCTCCCGTCAGGAGTGAGTAAGTATATTAGAGGTGGACGGTGATGAAAATTTGATTGATGTATTTTTTATGATTTAATATTATTTCATTTCATTGGTATTGGTTTTATTTTGCATTTTCTTCTTAGGCAGGTCACCCCGAGCTGCTAGTTAGCTGCTACCTAACCCGGGAAAGTATGTTTCTGAAAATCGTACTTTCTCTGTTCTTTTGAATGTACTTGATGATTGTACTTATATACCTATATGGTTGGTAGTAAAAAATAATTGGGCAAAGTTGAGAATAATTTTGATTGAGACCGTTGGTAAACAACTGAAGATATAATGTAATGTGGACTGTAGTGGAGTGTAATATTATTTTGATAATTTCCCTGTTTAATAGAAGTGCGATGATAGACGATAGCTATGACCACAAATTATCTTTTCAACGTTCCTATATACTTGTACTATTTTTAACGCAATATAATATTAAGATGATTAAACAAATTGGTAGGTACGTGCAGATATTTGTATCAACGAATGTACGTCATAGTACAACACTTTATATTATAACTGTAACGACTGGGCCCCAGTTGTAAGCCAACCTACAGTACGTCTTTTATTTAGTCCGCGATTGGGTAACTACTACACGGGATGAATAATACCTGAATATAATATTTAGAGTTTATGGAATTAAGTTAGTTAATTATTTTCATCAGTAAAGGTAGAACAAATTTCCATTAGGGTAGTAGAAGTGTAGATGTAGAAATATATATAGTAGGTAGTATATAGGGGTGCCTGCTTTCCCTCGTCATAGTTAGTTTAGAGATCTTCATCAAATCCAAGCGTTGTATAAAAATAAAATTAACTAACGAACTCGCCAGTCGCCACTAGGTGATCCACCGCGTAGAACCATAAACGTGACGCTGTCGTAACCTAACCTATATAATATTCCATCGATATATCATACCTATACCAACTACAATTTCAGGAAAATAATCACACATTAGGCGATCTCACGCGTGGTTATGTCTAATGATACATATAGCCCATATAGGTACCTACAATGTATATTATATACTATTATACACACACATGAAGAGAATCGCAACCGATCCCGCGATGAGTGTTGCAGCAACTATATTATAATATACGTCCTATAGCCGTCAACCGGTTAGACGAGATGAATTTTGGTTCCAAATTTAAACTATATAACCAAATGCACATATACTGCTGTAATAATAATATATATCTAATATTTAATAATATAAAGGTTCGGGTCACGTCGGAAACCACTTTTTCCTTCGTGTTTACGACAAAATTGATCGAAATATTAAAAACCATTCTGGTTTATTATACTAATATCTATACTATGTTTTTTTTTTTTTTTAAATTGCGAGCACATAATAATAATAATAATAAAAAAAGAAAAAACACGAAATTAAACCACCAGTATCCGGACACCATCTCCACGCGCGGAGACCCAGCCACAAATAAGTAGCTCGGTGTTACGTGTTCCACACGATTTTAATTTTAATTCCGTGTATAATAATTATTTGAGTTTGAAAAAAAAATCTATACACACTATAACCAATCCTCCGCGCGCAGAGATAATAATAATCTGTATGCCCCACAGACTGGTTCAGACGTATTATTAAAGACCCATAATCTTGCGTGAGTCTTGGAACATTAAAAACGTCGTATATATATATAATGTACAGTACACACACACACACACACGGCCGACCGAAGCGGTGTGGATCCTGTCTTTAGCCCTCTCTTGTATTACAGTCACGACGGTTTAGTTGTTAACTGGCTGACGGTTTATGGGTATGTTAATATTATTATTAATAATACGATTATTATTATACATGTACACGACGAGACTCTTAAAAACGTAATAGTGTAACTCGACTCTATAGGTACCGTGAGCCACCGTTCGAATATAATGATTGATTATCGATATTTTATCAATATTTTCATTCGCGTTATAGTAACAGGTATATATAATAATATATAAAAATATATAATATTATGGAAAAAAAAATAATGATTATATTATAATTATCTGTTATACTGTAATGATGAACGTGTTTATAATATATATACACACGCCGCGTTCGTATATATTTATTTATTCAGAACCATATTTTATGATATTATAGGTATAGTGTTTAAAATGTAAAATAAAGACTAAATAGGGGGACGAGGTGGCCGAGCGGTCGGACACGTCGTCTGCGGCGCTGGCGGTCGCGGGTTCGATCCTCTCGACCACTGGGCGGTATTTTTCTCCGGGCAAGTCACGGTGTCCGGAGAACAAGTGCCGCCATCCCCCACTCCGGGGCATGGCAGAAACCTACGGGTGCCCCATTCAAAATTCTGCCAAACCCAACACACATGTGTTCCTCCCCCTACCGACATAACATCACACAAAATAAACCACTACAGCTAATGGCCATAGTTGCCGAAGCTTAAGATCAATAAAAAAAAAAAAAAAAAAAAAAAGACTAAATATACAATATATTTGTAAAATATTTTGGTCAAAACGATATCGAAATCGAGTGTTTAAAAATTTAGATTTTTGTTTATCATTGGATTTGTATAAATATAATATGTAGGTACTTATTCAATGTGTAATGTTCAATTTGTTAACCAAAACTGAATGTTTGGTGGTGGGGAGAAGAAAATTGTTATCGATCACAGTTAAAAGCCAAGTTTAAATAAAACATTCATTGGAAATATAATGACTAAAATATGCTGTAATAACCGATTTTAATAGGTGTGTAATATTTGGAGAAAAAAATCTGTCGTGAACAATTTCGTGTGTTGGATCGTATATAAGACGTCATTATAATAAGAGGTCAACGGTCTGGTTTTATTGGCCTTCTATAATAGTGACCGAACTGGGTAATTTATGCTCTACTGCAGACTATACATACTTATAATATGCATATAATATTAGGTACTATTGAATATCATGCGTACCTATAGATCGTTAAGCGAACGTCGAAAAAAAAAAGTCGTATTTCGACGGACAATTTGTTTTACTATTTTTTCCCTCGGATTCCACTTATAATATTATAATGATGGAATATAAAAAAAAAAAAATTTTCAATTCAAAAGTAGGAATTATTATTTAATAGGCTTACCTTGATGTGAGTCATTCGGTGGTAGTAGAGATTAGAACTGGCCGTGAACCGTTTTCCGCAGACGCCACACTGGTGCGGTTTTTCTCCGCTGTGGATTCGCCGGTGAGTGTTCAACGAGCTCGACGTCGAGAAACCCTTGTTGCACACTGCGCACACGTGCGGCTTTTCACCTGCGCGAGAAAATGTATTCGTATAATATTATATTATAGCCTATAGGAAACGATTTTTCACACCATTCGTGGGTATGATATTATTATAAATTATAATATTATATACACGAGGGGGGTGTTATATCGGCTCTCGGATGTCGGTCAACAGGATCCGCGAGACCGTAGATTTTGATCCGCGGACCGTGGGAATCGAATAAGAGAGATGATGGATATATAATAATAATAAAAAAAAAAAAATTAAAATATGGAGAAGAAAAACATCGCCGCCATCCGGTCTCGATGACCTAGCCAGTGCAAGAGTATATAATATTATCGTAATCGCTGATGTTTATGGACCAGTCTCGTACATATTATATACCTAACCTATGTATGACTCGAAGTTGCTGTTGCGATGAGCTTTCCTGGGGCAGCTTTTTTTTTTATTATTTCAATCGAACGTGAAATCATCTACGTTATCTACATTTTATTATACGTACGCGTTGTGTAAGTTTTATTATACTAAATGCACATCAATAATATAATATATGCATATAAAACCGCCGCATTTTATGGAAATATAATATTATTATGTGCAGTATATACACGTTAATGTTGTATTATATACAAGTTTATACTGTCGTCGGCAAAGTAACGAACGCCATGGTTCCCCGCTGCACCGGTAAGATATACATATAATAAAACAGTATAGTATTATGTGAGTCTTATATAATATAATATTATATAGGAATATGCGTACAATGTACCTACCTACTGACTGTTCGTCAATCGCCTCTATAACGTCACGAAGACAATCATTTTGCGGCCCGGTTCAAAAAAATTGTATTATTAAAGAATATTATAATATGTAAAAAGGTCACAAAAAATTATGTCGAGCACGATTTATAATAATAATATGACGTTTGTGTGCGCGTCTTTAATGTTATACGAACGTTTAGTAAATACGAAGATGTTAGAATTAGAAGGGGTCCGTGCCAGGACCGGACTGCTCCATTTTTATCAATTGTTCCAGGACGAACGAAATAAAATATATTATCTTTGTCTCGTTTACCACCGTTGCCCGTTGGCGGGAAACAATTCATTTTGTAATTTCTTTGGAAATAATAAATCGATTTATCTGATTTTTATTCCAATATATAGATATTTCTTCCATGAATGATATTCCACGAAAAACCGATTTCTGATAAAAACGGAGCTGTCCGCGGTTCTCGCAATTAGCCCTCGTATTACAATTTAATTATTATTACATTTTAGAGTCGCAACAGCTGTTATTCGCGCCGCGTGAAAACGAAAACCGTGCAGATATACCTTGGTATATAAAGTATGTAGATATTACGAAATCGCAAAATTTTTTCGAGTAAACTAGTGTGTTGCTACTATTCGAGTCATCTCGCCGCGGTACATAACATATTCTAATGGTTTCTACCACAAACGTACCTGTGTGGGTGCGCATGTGTCTCTTGAGCAACGACGGTCTGTCGAAAGCCTTGCGGCACACCTCGCACGGGAGCAGGGTGCGCTCGCCGCGGAACGGTCTCGGTTTCACCGGAGTCGTGTTGCACACGATCATGTTGACGTTGTGGTCCAGCGAAGCTGTGTCGCCCGACAAAGAGTTGGCCGAAGACGATTCGCCGGACAGCGATTTCCGTTCGTCCGTGTCCAGTCCGCTGGGCGGGGAAGACGCCGACGACGCGGAAGACGTGCCGAACGCTCGGGACAGTAGCGACATGGATAGGTCCAACGGTGAGTCTGAAAACGGTACAAATATATTATTACATAATATACATTAATTACAATCATCCGTTGATATAATATTACAATGTGATGTGGTAAACTGTGTGTTGTAATTCGTCGTGATGAGGCACCACGTATAATTATAGTGATATGGTTTTATATTTTTCAAAATTCAGTTTTCAATTGTTTAGACCAGGGGTCTCCAAACTACGGCCCGCGAACAAGTTTTAACCGGCCCGTGGCCCGCATAGGACGCAAAGTTAAATATAGATAAAACAATTATTTCAAAAATGTATTTATATTATATTATATTTATACCTCTTTATTTTTATTTAAGTATATTGTAAAGTAAACAATATTCTATAAGAAAAAAATAAAGTAAACATATTATTTATATAGGTACCTATATTATCATAAAGTTAAAAATTATATGTGTTAATAAACTTTTGGCCCGCTAAGAGCATTTGATTTTTTTGTGGCCCTTGAATAAAAAAGTTTGGAGACCCCTGGACTTTAGACCATAGTCGTAAGACTGCATAATAATGTACCTATAGTCTTAGCATGACGGTAGAATATTCTGTGTGGCTTAACACAAGGGTTGACTCTAAATTGTAGGACCGAGTAATACACTATTATTCCACATACATAATAATATATTATAAGAAAGCGCGCTCATTTAAATGTGGTTTTTGCTCTGTCCCGTTGTAAGATTATCCGTAAAAAGAGACTTTGTGCTTGAATACATTCGGATCAGATTCGACACGCGTCGTTATTAAAATATATATTATTATTATAGAGGTACCTAGCATTATTGGTACCTATACCTACATTGTCTGTGATTACGGCGACGTGAATATTATTATATACCGCGGTCGATTATATTATTATTATTATTATTACTATTATTATACCGTGCGGACCCGAGAAAAAGCCACCGTGGTCTCGTCCGCCGTTATACAGTTCCAATTAAAACGATAATCTCGCCAAGTCGATCGTCTATGCTGCTGCTGCTTATTATTATATTTACTCTATAGTCTATATACTCTATATACATATATTTTAATATACAGGCGTATAGGTACGTAGTACGGGAGTCAATTTATATTCGGATTTGGATGGAAACGGTTCGTGTCGCGTCCCGTACTCGCATAGATACGCGATTCGATATACGCCCTTTCACGTCGTCGATAATATGTCGGCCGGTGGAGTATATTTTTCCGATGTCTATGGGCGGATGGGTATGTAAGTTTTCCGTGGCAAAACCAGGCCAACGGCGATTCGGAAGACAATTTGTCCGATTATTTCCGTTTTGAATAGAATCGTATATTTTATTCTGTCTATTACTATACAGTCATAGTATAGCGAACGATGCGAGACAACCGTCTTCTCGTGCAAATACACATATTATTTTGAAGAAGAGGTATCCTCGGTCTATGTCAAATCGTCTGTTGCTTCCGAAAACTGTATATTTATACTGCAGCTGCGATAACGGATAACTGTCCGGTGTCCATCACGAGTCGCGATACGTGTCCGTCGAATTAATGACATTTCCAGTCCACTTCCCACAGTACGAACCGGAGCCGAGACAGATCTTCTGCATCAGTGGTCCAAGATGAGAAGGACTGACGACCCATCGTCGAACAATGCGTTTGCAGTGGTGACAGCGACGTGTCAACTAATTTCGGTTCTACATATTAAATTGTTGTATAAAGCGCAGACGGCCGCGGGTTATTATAGAAGTAAATTAATAACTATAAAGAAGAATTATAATAGTAAGAGGGTGTACCTATATATATTATGACGTCGGGACGATAAAACGTATGTTATTATTATTATTATATTACAATAACGACACAATGTCATAATATTGTCGTACAACCCTCACAAATAGCCATTATACACGCGTCGTACTTTCCGTAAGTATTTGTTATAATATAGCGACTATATTAGTGACTGTTGCACAATATTTAATTTTTCGCGTTATTATACCGTTTTCCGAATCAAGTGGAAAACGCACGTAATACAGCAGCAGAGCACCCGTAAAAAAAACGAAGAAAAAACCCGTTCAAGCACCTAAATACAACTAGGTAGGTAGATTATATACATCTACTGTACATATAACTACTATAATATTAATATTATGATCCCATCATAGGCGTGAGCAGACTGCATGGTTCGTTGATAGTGGTGTTGGTGGTGACTGGTGGGGCATTCCTTCCACGCAATCTCTTACCGAAACCTCCCAACAACCAAAACAATTTTTTCATTTTTTTTTCTATTTTAAAGACCAACGAATAAAAAATAACAATATTATCTCGTTCTCTCGAAGCATGAAGATTATAGAAAAAAAAACGATTTTCGTAAATCGTAAATTTATTTTTCAGGATTTTAAACGGTAGCGGCAATTATAATAATACCTATTCGTCGATTTTCCGATGTAGAATGTTGCACGCCTATGCATCCCATATAATATAATATACTATATACGTATCTAATATATATGTAGATGCACGAAGTTTTCCTCCGTCTCGGTCTCGCGTGACGACCGATAATATACCCATATGCGTTCATATATAGTACCTATATATGCACACACACGTATATACATATACATATATGAGTATACATATATAGGTACCTATATATACACAAGTACATATCGGAGAGACGGACGCAAATCAAGTCCGTGTCACCGTCTCGGAGAAACGCGCGGGACAGGGGGATGAGAAGAGCCGAGGACAATACCCGCGCCCGACGACGATCGGGCGGCAGCGGCGGCGGCCAAACAATAGAAGGACGTGCCGCTACCGTTTGGAAGTGAGTACCGCCTCGGCCACGGGGTATAGGTACGAGGTATAGGTACGCAAGTACGCGTATATAGGTATATAATGTGTACCTATATATATATATATATATGTATGTGTGTATATGTATGTATAATAGTGTCTACTGCACGTATATATAATAATAATAATAATAATATAATACTCGCTATATATTGTCGCCGCCGCCGCACAATCACCAATAGCCACCAGAACAATGGACAAACCGTACGCATTATTATACAACGATATTGGTCTTTGGACGTGTACGCGTACCTATGTGTTCGAGTGTGAGCGTATATGCAGTGTGCTCGTATCGAAAGCGTATTCCGTCTCCGTTTTTTCCTACTAGGCTTATATTATTATATTATATTATGCTCTCACGATGCACACGCGTATATCATGCGGGATTCCCGGAGTCGTTTTCATTTCCATTTTTCGTTTTCATTCCGTCCCATCGTAGCAGTCCCTCGTAGGGTTACAATAATATTAAGTAATAATTAAATTTCGGAGGTCTAGAGAGTGGAATGCTGCACACCTCCGCAGCGGTGACGGTGGCTGCGAGATAGGACCCGAGTTTGAAATTCACCGCAGCGGCTCGTCGTTATCGTAGCGGTATACCATTTTTATACCGTCTATATGGTTCTATATATGTATACTTATCGGATTTTATATACCCGCTAGTATGTATACCTACACATTGTACAAGTCCGACACATTGTGATTACGAAAAACCGACGCGTTTGGTATGTATTATGCGTATATTCCTACGGTTGGCACTATCCGGTGTAGTGTGTAATACATATAATTATTGGTATGGGTATATTATAATGGTAATATAATATAATATTATGTATCGAGCCGGTAAACGCATTATTATATATACGCTGCAGCAATAACGTAATAGTGTCGCATTTTTTTTTATTCACACGCCGCTCGAGGCCGTTTTACGCGGTATTAATTCAAGTAGCCGTAAACAGGACGACGTACGACTATCGTTGTAATATTATAATAAAACATATTGTATGGTATACCGTCGTATAAGGCTAGGGACAAGGTCACATCGCGTCAATCTACTCAGCTGAGCCCACGCCGCGCCGCCTCGAAGACGTCCCCCAGCAGCGACCTCGGTCTTTGAAAACAATAGTTATATAATATTATGAATGTCTCATCTCATTACGCGGAATCGCCGGGATTATTCAATGTAATATATTACGATGTGATCAACCAAAATAGAAAAGGGAAAATCGAGGGTGAAACCTTCGGCGGGGCCATCGTTCGTTTTTAATATTATGCAGAGCGCACGTATTAGCGGAGATAGAATGATGATGATCCCACCAAAGGATTTAAGCAAACAAATATGTAAATAAAATATCTCAGAAAAAAACAGTAGTGCACTTCATGACAACGGAGATATGGGCAGGCTACTACAAAAATTGGTACGTCGACCGAATTAATATATTCTATAAAAATTAAATGGTGTGACCTTTTTCGAACGTGGATAACAATTATAATAATATAATATGTTAATGTCATTGAGACGTTGACGATATAAATAGGAAAAAAGAAAGCGGAGGAATAGTACCAATCATATAATGCGCACATCAAATTAATAAAGAGGTTAGAATAGTACCTATATATAGGTAGGTAACCTAAGTAGGAAAAACCATTAAAAAAAACAATAAAGAGAATAATCAATTACAGATAACATACATATTATTATAGTGGACAGAACCAAATAATTATAGACTTGATTCGATTTCCAGTTATATGTCTGCTCTGAAAAGACGTGTGTGTAAAGAAATCAATAATAGTAAATATATAGTAACAGAGGAATATATAATATTATGATTTTGACGACCGAAACGTTAATTATTATTGAGGCTCGTTTTAACTTTTAAATCATCATATTCGATTTTCGTTCGATAGGAAAAAAAAATCGCTTAAAATACCGTGGGTATAATGAAACACGAGTAAAATAATAAATGCTGCACGTTTGTTAATTATTATCATCAGCTGCAGTATATGGATACACGTAATTAACGAAATCGTTTCGTAATGTCGTGAGCGCGTATCATCGACACGTACTATATAGGTAAGATATGGAGGCGTATGCATATACGTTTATTATAACGCGTATCTATTATAATATTATAGTCCATCGCGTCGAATAATGTGATATATATTATACAT